TTGTCTTCTTCTTCTGGGACTCCTATGATTCGAATGTTGGGGTGTTTCACATTGTCCCAGAGGTCCCTGAGGTTGTCCTCAATTCTTTTGATTCTTTTTTCTTTTTTCCTCTCTGCTTAATTTATTTCCACCATTTTATCTTCTAACTCACTTATCCTATCTTCTGTCTCTGTTATTCTACTCATGGTTCCCTCCAGAGTGTTTTTGATCTCATTTATTTCATTATTAATTTTTAATTGACTTTTTAAAATTTCTTCTAGGTCCTTGTTAAATATTTCTTGCATCTTCTCAATCTTTGTCTCCAGGCTCTTTATTTGTAACTCCATTTTGTTTTCAAGATTTTGGATCATTTTTATTATCATTATTCTAAATTCTTTTTCAGGTAGATTCCCTATTTCCTCCTCTTTTGTTTGACTTGGTGGGCTTTTTTCATGTTCCTTTAGCTGTTGGGTATTTCTCTGCCTTTTCATCTTGTTTAGATTGCTGTGTCTGGAGTGGGCTTTCTGTACTCTTGTGGTCTGTGGTTCCTTTTTATTGTGGAGGTTTCACCCAGTGGGTGGGGTTGGACGATTGGTTTGTCAAGGTTTCCTGGTTAGGGAAGCTTGTGTCAGCGTTCTGGTGCATGGAATTAGATTTCTTCTCTCTGGAGTGCAATGGGAGTGTCCAGTAATGAGTTTTGCGATGGGTCTATGTGTTAGGTGTGACTTTGGACAGCCTGTATGTTGACACTCAGGTCTATGTTCCTGCGTTGCTAAAGAATTTGCGTGGTATGTCTTGTACTGGAGCTTATTGGCTCTTGGGTAGTGGTTGGTTTTGGTGTAGGTATGGAGGCTTTTGGATGGTCTCTTATTCCTTAATGTTCCGTGTAGTCAGGAGTTTTCTGGTTTTCTCAGGTTTTGGGCTTAAGTCTCCTGCCTCTGGATTTCAGTTTTATTCTTCCAATAGTCTCAAGACTTCTCCAACTATACAGCACTGATAATAAAACTTCTAGGTTAATGGTGAAAAGATTCTCCACCGTGAGAGACAACCAGAGAGGTTCACAGTTACATGAAGAATATGAGAGGGAGGAAGGAGATAGAGGTGAGCAGGAGGAGAAAAAGGGGACTCAAGAGGAGAGAGACAGATCTACACAGTTATCTGTTCCCAAAGTGTTCTCTGTAGCCCAGACACCCACAAAGATTCACAGAATTGGATTGGGAAGAGAAGGGGAAAGGAGTAAATAGAGGTGTTCTGAGGTAGAAAACAGAGAGTCAAAAGTGGGAGAGTAATCACCACACTCCTGAATAGAAATGGGAACTGAATATTGGATTCTTAAATGTCCAAAATTTATATCATATACTGAAAAACAAAGATTAAAAATCTAGTGTAGAGGTTAGACTCTTTGAAATACAATATTTGAAAACAAAAACAAAAACACAAAAAAAATTTAGAAATGTATATGAAGTTTGGTTTAAAAATAGGGTTTCTCTCTCTCTCTTTTTTTTTCTTTGGCAATGTTATAGTGAAACGAAAATGAAAATTAAGGAATAATAGAGGAGTATTAGAGGACTTTAAAAGGAAATAGGAGAGAAAAACAAGAAAAAGAAAAAAAGAAGAAGAAAAAAAATTTTTTCCCCTAATTAAAAAAATCGTAAAAATATATGAAAATGAAAGTTGAGTAATGGGAGAGTAATAGGGAATTTTAAAAGAAAATAAAAGAGAAAAATAAAAAATTTTAAAAAAGGAAAGAAAAAATTTTTTTTATATATTAAAAAAAAATATATATATATATATATATACCTAGGAATTTCTCTGGAGTTGTTGCGGTCAGTGTAGGTTCAGTTCAATTTCAGATAGCTCCTCTTTCCAGCTTACACTTTTCGTTATCTGTAGGCCCCTTCCGGTGTAGTCGGTGTTACCTTCAGGGATTTTAATCTGTTGCACCGGTCCTTTCTGAAGCGGTTCCCTTTGTTTATTTGGCTTGTTTGCCGTCTCTTCGGTGTCTAATTTCCGCCCTGACACAGGCGGGCGGAGGTGATCTCTTCTTTAGGTTCGCCAGTTCAGTTCAGTCCTGCTACTGCAGGGCGGGGCACTGCAGACAGATACCGCTCTGTGTGGATAGCACTCACCGTGTTCCGGCCACACTGGGTTTGCCCCGCTCAAGGGTGTCAGTGCTTTCCCCGTCTACACTCCTCAGGCTCCCGGCTGCTCTATATGGAGCGGGCCCTGCGTTGAGTGCGGTTCCAGTTTTCGGGTACTCCACAAAAGCGCGGATTCGGTTGCGCCTGCCTTTTGTGCCTTCCCCGGCCTGAGCGGTTCAGGCAGCCAGGGGCTTGGGCGTACTCTCCCTGGGTGTGGCGCGCCTTTTCCCTCCGCGGTGAGCGGCTCAGACAGCCAGAGGCTTGGGCGCACTCTCCCCGGGTACGGCGCGCTTTTTCCCTCCGCGGCGGGCAGCTCAGGCAGCCAGAGGCTTGGGCGCACTCTCCCCGGGTGCGGCTCGCCTTTTCCCTCCGCGGCGGGCAGCTCAGGCAGCCAGAGGCTTGGGCGCACTCTCCCCGGGTACGGCGCGCTTTTTCCCTCCGCGGCCCCAGCGCGCGCCGCCAGTCGGGTCTCAGGAAGTCTTTAGATAGGAACCGGGGCCTGTTTGCAGTGTGGGAGGGGGTGGCTTCTCAGGGGCTGAGTTTGCCCTTTTCCCCTCCCCCCTGCCTCCTACCTCCAGCGGGGATGGGCCGGCTCTTCTCTGGAGTTTCTCAGTCCCTTTGTTTTGCGAACTGCCGGCAGTGTGTAAGGGCCGGTTAATTTTGTCCCTCGCTATCCCGCAGTTTAAAAAAAGCTCCCTCCGATTGCTCTCAGGGTCTTCAGGCCGGTCCTTACCCTAAGCAATGCCGCCCGCTCCTCTCCGTTCCGCCCCGCTTGTTGCTGGCGGGTGCGGGCATCTGGGGTACTTTTCTGCTGGGAGTTGCTTTTAGGCATGTAATCTATGGGCCTTATTTAATTTTTCCTCCCAGTTAGATTGCCGAAAATTTCCCCCAGTCCCGCCAGTGCGAGGGTTTCCTGGTGATGGGAAACTTCCTCTATTAAGACTCCCTTCCCGGGACGGGTCTCCGTCCGTAGCTCTTTTGACTCCCTTTTTATCTTTTATATTTTGTCCTACCTCCCTTCGAAAACAATGGGCTGCTTTTCTGGGCGTCTGATGTCCTCTGCTAGCGATCAGAAGTTTTGTGAAATTTGCTCAGCGTTCAAATGTTCTTTCGATGAACTTGTAGGAGAGAAAGTGGTCTCCCCGTCCTATTCCTCCGCCATCTTGGCTCCTCCTCTCCAGTTTTAGTCTTTAATTTTTTTTTTTTTTAAGTGCCTGGAACCAGGTGAGGAAAGTAAAGTCCAGGAACTTTTCTTTTGTTTGCCTTCATCTAGGGGCCCCTTCACTCCCAACACCTTTGCCTTGCCCAAGATCTGATCTACAGGAAATCTTTGCTCTTTGCACCTTATCCCGTGGTTCCTTGTTTTATTTAGTGATCCTGTTCTTAAGACCATTACTGGGGGCTTTTGAAAGTTTCCCGTAAGTTGTCAGGTTAAAGACTTAAACAAGAACAGGAGCTGTTTTTTCTTCATAGAAATGAACCTGATTTGCATCCTAACAGATCGACTTTCTCCAAACATGTGTTTTTCTCTCTGGTTTCTTGTTTTCCATCTCTTACTTGCTAAACTGTTTGAGCAATAGATATTTTCACTGGGCCTTTATACCTCCTGCTTGCCTCTCGTATTTACACATGTTTTTACTTTTATTGTTTGACCTTCCACCACCAGGACCAAAATCTATATGTTCACCTTTGACCCAGGCCTGTTTTCTACAGGACTAAACTTTCTGAAAAGACATTCATGGTCTAACCTATTCCATCTTCCCCAAATCATTAGCATATTTATTCTCCATCCCAACAGCTAGTACAGGGTCTGGCATTTCAGAGGTACTCAAACAATTTTTTATCAGATGAGTGAGTAAATTACTTCCCTTGGTGATGTTACCATTTTTGTCTTTATCGCCCAAATATCACATATCATTAAGGCTGCTGTTATCTTCTCAGTTACCATAGCCAGACCCTAGTTCAGAAGTTAACCATTCCCACTTGTATTCTTTCAATACCTTCTTTATTGACCATTTGCCTTTAACCTTTCCTACCTCAGCTCTGTCCTATATCACAGGAGCCTTCTTCCATGAACATCAGAGGGATTTCATTGAGATGTTTACTTCATGAGCTTTGGAGTTTGTTACCATTTTGTTTCCTGCTGTCATCCTCATTTATCTATCTATCCTGCTAAACTTTGCCTAATACTCTGATTCCAGCAAGAGGGAGCTGTTAACCAGCCCCCACACCCAGCTCTCCACTCTTGCCTTTGAGCAGCTTGAGTAAATCTGTCCCTGAACTAGTTATGTCGAGCCCTTCTTTCAGTTTGTGTAAAGACTCACCTCCATAAGCCTCTCAGACTCATCCCACTTGCTCAGATACAGTCTTTGCTAACTCCGGCAGTGCTCAGCCACAGAGAAAAAATAGGGACAGTACAGCCCTGTTCCATTTTGTTCAGTACATGTTCAAGGCAGAGTAACAGTTCATTCACTCACTCACATGTTTCAGCACCTACTGTGTGTATGGCCAGACTTTGAATCAAATGCTGGGATACAAAAATTGTTTAGAAATGGCAGTCATTACTGTCCCCAGATCCCTCTAAAGTAGGTACATTCATTTTCTTAATTTTGTAAATGGATGAGATTTCATAGCTTTCTAAGGATTAAAGTACTTTTGCAAGATGTCTTGAGCATCCTAAAATCTTCCAGGTAATTCTTTTCTCTCATGTCCAGAAGAGTTAGATAAGTCTCCAAAGATGTGTTCCATTTTGAACTTTTCAGGATCCAAGAAACCTAAAGTTTAACTCCTATACTCTTAGCATCCTTTGTATGAATGCTGTTCCTGGGAAGTTCACTATTTTCCTGTCTCCCATATTTTCAATCTCTTTAATCCTTTTAGATTTTGGTGACCAATTTGGATTTCCACGATGAGCAGAAGCGCCGAAACCTCAATGGGACTCTTCATGAGCTTCTGCGAATGAACATCGTCCCCATTGTCAACACAAACGATGCTGTTGTCCCTCCAGCAGAGCCCAATAGCGATCTCCAGGGGGTAAATGTGGGTAAAGTATTCATGAGGGTTGAGCATGCTGTAGACATTAATGCCATGCTATGCTGCATGTACTAACACCAGATGTTGGGCATAAACAAGATGGAGAAATGGGAGAGAAGCTGGCCTCCTGGAGCAGTGGCTTCATAAGCTTTTGTAAAATCAGGGGGTTTCATTCAACCGGTGAGGAGCAATATGGATTTAAGGTGGTGCTGTGGGCATGGCTTGTGTGTGTCAGTGGAGAGAAGGGGGAATGTTCAGAGAGGGGGTTGCCAGTTGGCATGGTGTTTTGCAGACTGAAAGGGCCTTTCAGAGCTATCATGCACGTGCTCAGATTCGTTCATTTTGCCTGCCAGAGCCTAGCTGAGCACTTCTGTGAACTTCTGGGTGAACTACACAGGTCCCTTACAGCTTTTTGTACCTGTATTTTAGGTTATTAGTGTTAAAGATAATGATAGCCTGGCTGCCCGTCTGGCTGTGGAAATGAAGACTGACCTCTTAATTGTTCTCTCAGATGTAGAAGGTACAAAGAAATGCCTTTTCTTTATATCCAATCTTTGTTTTAAATACTGTATATGTGAGCATGAGTTCCCCTGATCTTTTCACTGTAGACCATTATTTTCTGAGCCATATGGTCTGAAGAGGGTTTTATGATTCAAAAAAGGTGGCAGTGGAGGGGAGGCACCTGGGAGATGAAGTTTGAATGCTGTGAAATGTCATTTCCAGGCACTTTAATTTTGTTTTTTACAACAGCTATATGGAGATATAATTCACATAACATATAATTTACCTTTTAAAATTTACAGTTCAATGATTGTTAGTATATTCATACAGTTGTTCAACCTTCCCCACAATTTAGAACATTTTTAATCACCCCAACAAGAAACTCAAACCCTATAGCAGTCATTCCTCACATCCTCCGAAACCCTCCAGCCCTTGGTAACCTCGAATTTACCTTCTGTCTCTGTTTCTTTTTTTAATTTATTTTGACTGCTCTGGGTCTTCATTGAGGCATGTGGGCTTGTCTAGTTGTGCTGCATGGGGCCTATATTGCGCAGGCTCAGTAGTTTAGGTGTGTGGGCTTAGTTGTAGCATATGGGATCTTAGTTCCCCAGTCAAGGATTGAACCTGGGGCCCCTGCATTGGGAGTGCAGAGTTTTATTGATTGGACTATCGGGAAGTCCCTCCTCTGTCTATTGATTTGCCTATTCTAGATATTTTATGTAAATGTGATCATACAGTATGTGTATGTGATCCTTCATGACTGGTTTAATGTTCTCAAGGTTCGTTGATGTTATAGCACATATTAGTATTTCATTTATTTTTATTGCCAAATAATATTCCACTATGTAGATACACTACCTATTTGTAGGTTTTATTTACCTAATTGTTCAGGTGATAGACATTTAAGCTATTATAACTAATGATTCTGTGAACATTTGTGCACAAGTTTTGGTGTGAACATACTTTTTATTTTACTTAGGAGTGGAATTGCTGGATCATTTGTTCAGCCTTTGGAAGAAGTACCAGGCTTGTTTCCTAAGCAGCTGTACCATTTTACATTTTCCCAGCAGTGTATGAGGGTTCTAGCTTCTCCCATCCTCACCAGCCCTTCCTTCTTGGTATCCGCCATTTTGACCATAGCCACGCTGGTGGATGTGAAGTGATACCACCTTGTGGTCTTGATCACTTTTAGTTTTTAATGTAAATCATGAGATACATTATTTTAAATTGGCTCCACTATGGAAATGCCAGGCTGTGTGACCACTGTGTTCTTGTGTGGCACTCTGTTCCCCTCTGCTTTCCCCCTCCTCATGGAGGGACGCTCTCAACTACAACTTGGCTTTCCATTCACTCTGCTCACTTTCTTAACCTGCTCCCATTTTGATCCATAGAGAATATGGTAGAGTTATCTAAAGGGGGCCAAACAAATAAAATTATTTTAAAAAATAATAATAAAAATAAAACCCAGTTTGAACTAGACTTTAGTAAACCTTAGTTTTAATGCAGCCTCAAACACCAAAACTGGCCATTGGCGGCAGGCTTGTGCTCTTAACTCTGATTAGTTATCTACTGAATATTGACTTTTAGAAAGATGCCAGAATTTTAAGTACACTCCTAGTGGGTTTGAGAGGCTGCTATAATGAAAAAGAAAAGTAGGTGAAATATTAGAATGCTAGGAACTCGAGGTGTCTCTGGTGGTTTGGCTTAAATTGTCAAATACTATTTATGATCTCATAGCATAATGCCTCCTGAGAACAACGCAGCCCTGGACCCCTAGAGCTGTGAGCTGCTGGGTTGAGGCAGACAGGGGTTATGAGAGGTTATTTCTTTTTCTGTGTGTAATTGCTGCTCATGGTTTGCACTGCTTTGTTGTGTACTGGACGCTGGCTATTCTCACCACTCTGATTCCCTTACTCTCTTAGGGAGGATGCATATGGCCTGATTGTATTAAAGATTTGGAGCAGAGGGGTGTATTTTAGCATAAGAAAAGCAGTTAACTTGAAACCAGAAACACCACTGCCTAAATGTCCTTCAGCCAGCCTCTGACTATTAGCAGTTCCCTCTGCCTGTGTTCCCCTTAGACCTCGCCTTTCAAGGCTCAGATACACTCTTTCTCAAAGTGAAGTTGTGAAGATTTTTAATCTTGGATGATATACATATAACATTTTGTGTAACTCTCATTTTATGTCAGTCTCCTCAGTTATAAAGAGGACATTGGCTTTGTGGTGACAAATCTGAGCTCTTTTGCTAATTCAGCCTGACCTTCAGAGGCTTACCCATAATGTGGGGAGTGCAGTGTGACCGTTTGAAAGGGTACTCTGAGAGTGAATGAGAGCCTCTCATATTTCATGCCCTTGGAAATAGTCACATTAAACAGTATCCAGCTGCTGCACTGCTTGTGCAAAAGCTACTCACCTTTTTCAGGTGCATCCTTAAGTTTCAGTATCATAAGTAGCAATGGCAAATGTGAGGACAGCTTCACTGTAGACTGTAGGCAGGACCAGTAAATTTTGTGCCAGGGATATGGCTGTGCTCTGATGCTGGCAAACATTCATTTACCAGGCAGAGTTAATAAAAGTATGTAAGGTATGTCCTCCTGGAGCTGATTTTCAGTGTGGGTAGGCTCCATGGACCTCTTAACCTCTTTTCTCATCAGAGCTGGCCAAATAGCAGAATTTAGCTGTATGAGTCGAGTACAGAATGGTTGGCAGGTCCCCGGGGAGGTCTCTCTTGGGGGTTGCTCACTTCTGCTAACCAGTATTACTGACTCTTGTTTACTTTTTAGGTCTCTTTGACAGCCCCCCAGGGTCAGATGATGCAAAGCTCATTGATATATTTTATCCTGGTGATCAGCAGTCTGTGACATTCGGAACCAAGTCCAGAGTCGGAATGGGTGGCATGGAAGCCAAGGTAGGACCCTGTTGCCTTTACTGCCCATAACAATTTTAAAACCAAACAGTATTTTATCCTTCTTGCTTTTGTAATTGTTTGAGGGCTGATGTATATATACAAAGATGATGCATATCTAAATAAAGGTTTAATGAACATTGTGTGCCTGTATTTAGTCATGTCTTTCTATGTATTTGTATTAGTGATGTATAAAGAATGTGTTCATATTGTAACCTCTTAAAGAACAGGGTGTGTATTTTTTATTATTCATAAATCCTCTTAAGTGTTTTTATTAGAGCTCAAATATTTTTTGATAAAATCTTTTACAAAATTCTTCTCTCCCATTAATTTTTCTAAGCAGTTATACCCTTCAGGTACAGCATCATTTGTAGCAATAGCAGAGGTAAAGACCACAACCCCATGTACGTAGCTCAGAGTACTCAGGATCATATTCTGGTCAGGCAGCAGGCTGGACTCTTGAGTTGAGGCACAACAAGTCAAATGTTGAAGTCATGCATCTCAGTACCAGTGTCTTGGAGAACACACTGAGCACAAGGAACAGATTGGTTCCTCTTTAGACTACACGTGCCAGGATTGGGCTGAGACAAACACATGGGCTGAGTGTGTCTTCAGAGCTTCTGAGCTACTTGAAAATCTTCCTACAGATACTTAAATTGCTTAGTATCACATTGTATTTTCTTTGTTTTTTCATGTTTTAAGTGCAGGGGCCTAGATAGACCCTGCAAAGGTCTGGATCATGAAGTATTGAATGCTTAAGTGAATGCCGTTTCAGATATCCCAGAACCTGTGTGATTAATGGTTGTATCATCATGTATGTTATACTTGTACCTAACCAGAATTTCACAGTCAGTAATGAATAAATGCCATTTGAATGTATTATTATCATCTTAATTGTTCTTTTTAAATATTAGTAGATATAATTTGCAATAAAAATCTGTTTATATACTTACTGGTAAAAAAAAAATACAAAGGTCTGAATCTCATCCATGGATCTAACTTCTCCCATTAGGTGAAAGCGGCTCTCTGGGCTTTACAAGGTGGTACTTCTGTGGTCATTGCCAATGGGACCCACCCCAAGGTGTCTGGGCATGTCATCACAGACATTGTAGAGGGAAAGAAAGTTGGCACTTTCTTTTCTGAAGTAAAACCTGCAGGTAAGTATTTCTTCATAGTGTCCCGTGGTCTATGGAAGATAGCTAGTGCCTCCATGGCCTAGAAGGGGCTGAAGACAGAGCTCTCCTAGGAGGAAAGCTCACAAAATTGATGTGCTAATAGTGTGAAATATGGTGTAGTTTTGAATGCTTCTTGCAAAATTGGATTCTCTTGTCTTTGTAAAACTTATCTAACCTGACTAACTAAGCCTCCTTTTCTTGCTAAAATCATTAAGTTAAAGAATATAAGTATCCATTTTCTCAAGAAACATTTGCTAGGCCCATGCTGGATGCCAGGTGCTACTGAACACTAGAGATGCAAAGATGTATAAGAAATGGTGTGTGTTCTCTCAGGTGTTCAAAAAGTCAGCATTGTCATATAATCTACAATCAGCAGTGCAAACACATTAGAAAATTTAAGCCAAAGTGGAATTGAGAACTCCAAAAGATGTAAATCATATTGTGTGCAGACAGGTTCTTATGTTTCTGCCTGAGTTAATCTGGTATGCTTGTCTGCCAGTTTATTGGTCAGAGTGATCCCTGGATGTGAAACAAGCACATTATGACCATGAGCTGATGTCTGCACATGTTCTTGCAGGCCCTACTGTGGAGCAGCAGGGAGAAATGGCTCGATCAGGAGGAAGGATGTTAGCCACTTTGGAACCTGATCAGGTAATAATCCTTGTTGATAGTTCTTTTAGTTTTCAGAGCGAGTCATGCTGTGAGGTTTAGTGCACAGTCAAGCCTGCTGTTTCTCCATCTATTCCTCAGGTACCATAGAGTTAAATCTGAGTAATAAGTGTGATTCAGATTTGTTTTGCCATTTTTCTCGATTTCATTTTCTCCTCTGTCTTTTATAGGCTGAAGTCTAAGGTAGCTTGGCATCATTATGATGTTTTGACCAAAAATATCATGGAAATCATGAGACCAGAAAGGCTCCCTAATCCTGCCACATACTGGGCAGGGAAATATAGGAAAGTAACTTATCCCAGCTCACCCAAATTATCTAGCTTACTTACAAGATGGAAGCTTCAGAGTCTGCTCCATAGCTTAGCCCTGCCCTGTCCACAGTGACTCAGTCAGTTGAAGTAGCAGATGTAATAAAATGTGAGAAGGTCAGGTGGACGCGGGGGCTGGCTTCCTGATAGTTGTAATGTTAAGGCTAGATTTGAAAGTGATGTATGTAGGTTTCTTCTGAGGAGTTCTTTGGCCTGAGAATGGAAAAGAAAATTTGAAGTAACTACAAGTAGAGAAAGGAAAGCCCAAGAGGACCATAGTTTCTCTTTAGTCACTTATTTTACTCCTTCAGTAATCACTGCTCTGATTTGCTATGTCTTCTTATCTAGGTGGGTAAGGATTGGGGTCTCCTCCAGCATTCAGGACTGGATTTTTCCCTTTTGACTGAATTCATTTAATAAACATTAATAATTGTCAAGAAAGAAGAACTAGATGCAAAAACTTAACCTGGGAAGTCAGGTACACAGCTGGTGCTGTTAAATAAGTGCAGTGTGTATATCATGCTGATTCCAAGTGCTGGCCCATCTCATCAGTGAACTGAATAATGCATGCCTTCTCCCCAAACACGAGGCCAGGGTTTGTTAATCATCATGATCAGGAGTGGTACAAGAGGAAGAAAAGTAGAAAGATTAGTACTGAGAGAGGAAGGAAAAATGAGGGGAGTGGTGGTAGGAAATGAATGAATAAAGTTAGGAGATTTCAGTCATTGGTAATGGGATTTCGGAGCAAAGCCTGGCACACTCAGAAGAGTAAATCTAAAAGTGTAGTGTGCATTCTTCATGGGTTAACATGTTTGCTTATTCGTGTTAATCTTTAACCTTTCTTCCTAGAGAGCAGAGATTATCCATCACCTGGCCGATCTGTTGACAGACCAGCGAGATGAGATCCTGTTAGCCAACAAAAAAGACTTGGAGGAGGCCGAAGGTAAAGACCAGGCAGCTGAGTCAGTGTTATGGAGGGATTTGGTTTGGTTTTTATTCTTTGTTTTACCAATAATTCTTACATCATAGTCTGCCCAAAGACAAGATCGTTATGGAAGGAGTTACATATTACACATCATTTTTTATTGAGGGTTGGTGGCTGGTATTCGTTGGGATCTTTTAAAGTACACCTACTACCTCCAACCTCTTTCTTGGATACTCCGTACAACACCCATCCACCCCCCACCTGCTGAGGGGCTTTTTCCATTCCCCACACATCACAAGTCAGAAAGGAAAAAGATGGAGGACCTCACTATTTTAGACATTCAGCTAATAGCAGCTAACATTTACTGAGGCCTTTGTGTTGCTGGGCATTATGCTAAGAATTAACAGGCAGGATCTCATTTTCTCTTTAGAATATGGTACCTATAAAGTAGCTACTATTTATTATCCCTGTTATAGAGGAGAAAACTAAAGTAGAAAGAAGTTGTTAACATGCCTAAAACCATACAGTCAGTGACAGATCTGGGAACCAAACCCAGATGCACAGTGTATATAAAAGAATAGTGGAAATAGTTCGTGCAGCCTGTGGTGAAAGATAGCTTTATCTCCTTAACCAGTGTGTAGTCTGCCACCCAGAAATGCCCTGGAGGTCCTAACGACAGAGTAAGCTGAACTTGCATTACAGACAGCTAGATTACATGTTGAGTCAGGCAGGCCCTCATCATTCTCTCCTTTTCTTAATTCTCTCTTTTCCATCCTAAAATAATGTGGCTTGATTTTATGGAGTTTATATATTCTTGTGAATAAATGTGCCTCAAATCAAACATCCAAATTAGTAGATTCCCTTTAAAAAAACTTTGCAGGGCTCATCAACATTACTTTCATTCCTTAAAACATTTTTGAGCCATTACCTTGGAACTTTCTTTGGACTTTACCTCTGGTCTTTGGAAATTTTGCAGTATCAGAAAACCACAAAAAAATTTCATAAATGGAGAAATCTTTTTTGACATCTTACTGAAATCTTTAGTTTAAAAGAATTAAGACCCACAGAGGTTAAAGCTGCTGCTTAAGATCACACACCTAGTTGTTGGCAGAGCTCTGACTTCTGATCCCAGTTATCTCTCTCTAGGAATCCATAAGGACACACATGACCTAAGAACAAAGTCTAGCATATACATGAGCATGGTAATTGCCTTTGACTCAGTGAGCCCAGTTTAGGAAATTTATCCTAAGAAAAGATTGCAAGAGGAAAAAACAGCTCTGCATGTAAAGATTCTTTAAAAAAAAATTTAAAAGATTCTTAGAGCAGGATTATTTATCCCAATGAAAACTGGAAACAACCTGAGTGTTTAATAACATTGGTACAGTCATGTGCATTGAATTGTATCAAGTCAGTGGGATGTTTAGTAATTATTAAATTATTTTGGCAACATGGAAAATGTATATGCATTATAAGGTAGCAAACTAGAGTATAATATTTAATATGCACTACAATTAAAAGTTGATTTTTAACACATGGGGGAAAATGAAGAAAATTAATTTAATGTAATTGGTTGATGAAATTATGGTTTCTTTCTTTTTTTTTTTTTAATAATAAAAGGTTGGTTCCTCCACTCCAAAGTACAAGTCTTTTTATTCTTTTGTCTTGGTGATTATGACTATACCAAAGAAGGGGAAATTTTTCATAGTATCATTCAACATTAATCATAATAATGATTTGTGATGTGTGTATGTGCTTAGTCGTGTACCACTCTTTGCAACCCCATGGACTCTAGCCCGCCAGGCTTCTCTGTCCATGGCATTCTCCAGGCAAGAATGCTGGAGTGAGTTGCCATTCCCTTCTCCAGGGGATCTTCCCGACCCAGGGATCAAACCCAGGTCTCCTGCATTGCAAGGAGATTCTTTTCCATCTGAGCCACCAAGGAAGCCCAGTGATTATTCATGATATGTGATTCCAAATGGTTTTCCTGAATGCATGTGTATACATGTATATATAAAAATATGTGTGTGTGTGTTAAGAGAGATAATCACACAGTGCATACTGTTAAATTTAAACAAAATTCTGTATATGAACTTACCATAATTCTATTTTTTTTAAGAAAACATCTTTACTACTACCAATTATAAAACAAGTTCACTCATTATTAAAAAAAATGCAGGAGAGATCATCACTGTTAATACTTTCTGACATGTGTCTGTGTACATGTATGTGCACATGTATGTGCAGTATGTGATAATTAGGGTCATATCATGCATGCTGTTTTGTTTTGCCTTTTCCACAAACTATATCCTAGACAACTTTCCATATCAGTAAGTATGGAAATTTATTTACAGTAACTGCTTTGTAGCCCATTGTGTGAATCTATAGGTAGAATCCAGTTCCCACTATTATGAAAATGCTGTGGTAAGTATCCACCCTGCATGCAGATTTGCTCATGAAAATGATAAATTTCTGAAACTGAAGTTGCTGGCACCAAGAGTGTGGGTGTCCACACCTCTACATGATGATGTAAGCTGCCAAGCTGCCCCTCCCAGCAAAGCTGTGTAAATGACATGTCCTTGTCTCCCCGAGACCCCGAGTTCCTTGTCTGCTCCTAACACAGTTCAGTAAAACAGCTGAACCCACCCAGGTCTACTGCTTCATCGTGTACCCTTCACACCTCTTCAGGGAGACTTGCAGCTCCTCTGCTGAAACGTTTGAGCCTCTCCACGTCTAAATTGAACAGCCTGGCCATCGGTCTGCGGCAGATTGCGGCCTCCTCCCAGGACAGTGTGGGGCGGGTTTTGCGCCGGACGCGAATTGCCAAAGACTTGGAGCTAGAACAAGTCACTGTCCCAATTGGAGTCTTGCTGGTCATCTTTGAGTCTCGCCCTGACTGTCTACCCCAGGTATGGGCCTAATGCCGGCCATTAGAGGAGGGAATTGGAGGAAGAACATCTTTTCAGGACTCAGAGATAAATCTCCCAGAGATATCCTTCTTTTGTTTCCCTTCCTCCCACCCCTTCACCCTCCCTTTTTCCCTTCCTTCCTTCCTTCCTTCCTTTCCCCAGAGATAGTTTTTGAGACTTTATTCTCAGGTTGCTCTTAAGGCAATTTATGTTTTTGATTCTTCCAGTAATTCTAAAAACAGTAATTCATATGTCCATTTTACAGTAGAAAAAAGTTAAGCTTATAGAAGTCAATACTCCTGTGATGTATGGATGAAGCTGAACCTTGAGCCCAAATGAATCTCCCATTCTGTGACAATTCCATGGTTCCACTGCAGGGGGCACAGGTTCAATCCCTAGTCAGGGAACTAAGATCCCACGTGCTACGCAGTACAGCCAAAAAGACAAAACCTAAGCTCACCGGAGCACTTTCTTCCCTGACCACAGAGTGTCTGCTACCCTGCTGTAGGCTCATTCAACTAATAGCTGCTTTTGCCCATTTGAAAAAGACCATTTAATATCAGTGTCACAGATGGCTTCCTGTAGGTGCATCTCTTAGGAAAAAGAACTTTCGGTAGTTGATGGAGCCTAACATGTAAGCCCTTTAGGAAATCTGAGAAATCACAGGCTATAATTGTGGAGAAACCATGTGGCAAAGATCTTCCCAAGCAGCCATGCTCTGAAGTATAAGATGGAATTAGAGAGTGGCTTTGTTTGTGGCCCTAAATAATTCCCAGAAATCCGGAACCAGTTCCCCACTGGACTGACAACAGGATGATACCAGCTCTTTCTTTGCACTAGCCCTGAAGTTTCAAAGAGAGATTCTATTTAGAAAAAAGAAATAGAACCTTTTCTTCTAGGGCATATGTGACCCTGGGAGTCCCACTCGCTGTGTGGAGGCTACTCCCTGACATGATCTAAAACTAGCTGGTCCGCTAAGGGACTCCCATACTGTTGGGTTCTGTCCTCAGCCTGTGGCTGGTGCTGTCACACAGCCCCCTCGGTGTGCATATCTGTCTCATGAAGAACCCCCGGAGATAACTGTCATCTGGTAGAAATGAGTCCTAAGTTGCAGGCCGTGTCCATGAAGTTTCTCTGCCACCTTTTATCCATACTAATGAGTACTTCACTAGGAAAAAGTTTCCTCTTTAGCCAGTTACAACTGAGATTTCCAACCTGGGATCTTAACCTTGGACGGCATCACGGAATACATGAATCCTACAAATTACAGGGAGAGTGCTGTGTGTTTGTGCATTTATCTGGGAAAAGTTGACATTTTTTAAGAGGTTCATGGGCAACAAAAACAAAAAAGGAGTAAGAATTATTATTCTGGAGATAAACATGTTCAAGGAAGTTTTATTTTGTAAAGTTTCTTTTGATATATTACAAAAGCAGGAAGATTTTCATTCATCCCTAAAGCATTCAGAAAGTTCAGCTTCAGGCCTTATCAGATCAGTGTCATTAGCCCTTCACTCCCAGAGGGTAACTAGCTCTCCTTGTAGATGGCCTGCTTCGTCCTGCCAGCAGTCTCTGCCACAGCTGTGCAGGGGCTCAGCGCCAGGCATTAGAGCTCTCAGAGCAATGACACGGCTGTGGGAGGGTGTGGCCAGAGGTGCTGCATAGCCTCGGGTGCTGCTGAGTCAGGTGAAGTAACACCTCAGTCTGGAGGCTCCTGAGCACCTGTGGCCGGAGAGGGTAGGGCCTGTGTGACCCTGGGCACTTAACTTGGGTTACTCCGTAATGGTGCTGAAGCTGTATAGTACAGTTTCCTAAGATCTGTGCTTTGGCTCTGGGGTAAAGGTCCCAGCCCTGCCACTTAAAAGCTGTGTGTCCTTGAGGAGTTACCAACCTCTCTGGGCTTCAGTGTCCTTGTCTGTAAAGCAGTGGATAAGACAGGTACTTAATTCACTGGAATGTTGTAAAGATTAAACATGGTAGACCTTATAAAGTGATTAGCATAGTGCTTGGCACAGAAAGACATGCTCAGTGTTTGACTGCATTCCTCTTTGATCTGCAGGTGGCAGCCTTGGCTATAGCAAGTGGTAATGGCTTGTTACTCAAAGGAGGGAAGGAGGCCTCACACAGCAACCGAATCCTTCACCTCCTGACCCAGGAGGCCCTCTCAACCCATGGAGTCAAGGAGGCTGTACAGCTGGTAGGTCCCTGGGAATGAGCTCGGTCAGGCCCAGAGGAGCCGGGCCAGGTCTCTGGGGGTTTGAAGCAAAGCTCAGCCTGCAAAGGCAAGGCCACTTGTATAGGCAGGCTTGACTGGAGGAGCAGCAGGTTCTGTGTGCCTGTGATGTTGGACAGCGCTGGTGCTGCCTTGGCCCAGATTGGGTGGTTCGTGAAGGCCCCTCTCACACAGCTGTGTTCTGGTACCATTGATTGACAGGAATCATTCCTGAGGTTATAGGCAGCAGGAATACCAGACCTAGAGTGTGAGGCCTGGTCTCTGCTCGCTGGCAGTGATTGAGGCCAGGTCTGATGAGATATGTTTTATGAAAGTTTGTCAGAAACCATCATGCAGCTTGTATGAGGTCGTGCTATTAACACTGTTACTGTTATGGTCATTATTTTAACAGTTGTGTCACACTCCTCAACCATCCAGTGGAGGTTTTGAACTACTAGATGGTTTTATTGAGCACCTACTGTGGACACAGCACTTTCATCCATCATTTCATTTAATCCTCACAACAACCTTGTGAAAAGGATACCGTTAATGATTAGGTCCATTTTATAGATGGAAGAAAAATAGGCTCATTGGTAAAATAACACCCCAGAATCACTCAGAGTTGAGATTTGGACCCGAGCAGACTCCAGATCCTTCTCTTTTTCCCTTGAGGCCCACTCGTGCATACATTCCAGGATACTGTTGGCTGCTGGTGGGGAGGGGTGTTGGTGTATCTACAAACTTGCCTCATTACATGCTCCCTGCCAAGAAGCTGGGCTATTCTTAGAGCAGCATAGTGGATGGAAAGAGCACAGACTGTAGGGGTTTAGGTCTCGGCTGCACCATATCCTCATTTAATGTGCCAGATTTCCTCCTCCTTCCTGTTGGTGTGTAACATATATAAAGAATCCTTGGGAATTCCCTGGTGGTCCAAAGGTTAGGAGTCCGCACTTCCACTGCAGGGGGCATGAGTTTAATCCCTGGTCAGGGAACTAAAATCCCACATGCCATGTGGTAAGGCCAAAAATATAATAAAAAATAAAATTTAAAGAAAAAAGAATCCTTATCTCATGTGATGTACATGTATGCTGTTGCTCTTTGTGACCCTATGGACTATATGTAACCCACCAGGCTCCTCTGTCCGTGGAATTTCCAGGCAAGAATACTGGAGAAGTTTGCCATGTCCTACTCCAGGGGATCTTCCCAACCCAGGGATCAAACCCACGTCTCTTGTGTCTCCTCCGTTGGCAGGTGGTTTCTTTACCACTGAGCCACCTAGGAAACCCATATACTTATGTCCATATATATATACACACATATATAACCACCCCCATAGCAAGACACAGAACATTGCCAACACCTGAAAGACTCTCTATGCCCTTCCCCATCAGCATGCCCCACCCCCCCACCATGAAACCTTTTTTTTTACTTCTTTCACATTCTGTTTCTTTTGCCTATTCTTGAATTTCATATAAATGAAATCATACAGAATGCACTCTTTTATCTGTATTTCTTTATTCATTATGTCCTCGAAATTCATTCTCATTGTTTGATCCAGCAGTAGTGTTCCTTTTTTACTGCTGTGTAGTATTCCATTTATAAGCATGTACTACAGCTTATCCTTTCTTCTGTTGATGAACATCAGGGTTGTTTCCAGTTTGGGGAGATGCAGATTGAAGTTGCTGTGAACCTTCTTGTAAATGTATATTTGTACTTCTATTATTAGTAACACAACCATATGGGGGGAAATTAAGAATCAAGGGAAGGAAAAAAATGCCCATAATCTTCGAGGTCTAACACAAGCACTTCAGTCAGTCCAACCAGCATCCTGGGGTAGAGGTTGTCAGCCCAAGTCATGGAGAACCATGACTCCCTAGTAAGATCCAGCAGCCTGTTATTAGGCTGTGATCAGGGAGCCAGTGGAGCAGCCACTTCCCTTTGTCACCCTCACAGCCTGGCATACTCTGTATCTTCTTGAACTTCCAGAGATCACACTTTGTACCTCTTCTGTCATCTTTAAAAGTATCCATCCTGTGTTTTGGCTCATTGTGGCCTAGTCCTGTCTTCCTTTCCAGATTCATGAGTTCTTTGAGGGCAGGGATCCTATCCTGCATGTTTTGTAATATGGAGTACAGCACCTGATGTGGAGAGTTTAAGCATTTGCTGGACAATTTTTAAATTCCCATGATTCCTTGTTTTTGGAATAAGTTCTCACAGCATCAGACTTAATTCTCAGGAGATACAGGCATTTATCTGTGTAAGGGATGCTGCTACTTCCATAGTTTGTGTGATCAAAAGTCATCTTCATCTTTTTATTCTCTACCTCTTCAGGTGAATACCAGAGAAGAAGTAGAAGATCTTTGCCGTTTAGACAAAATGATAGATCTGATCATTCCACGAGGCTCTTCCCAGCTGGTCAGAGACATCCAGAAAGCTGCTAAGGGCATCCCAGTAATGGGGCACAGTGAAGGCATCTGCCACATGTACGTGGATTCAGAGGCCAGTGTCGACAAGGTCACTAGGCTAGGTGAGCTCGATCAGGTCCCATCTTATGTGCACAAAATAGTTCTCATGTCCTCAGTGGCCCTGGTTCATGTTAATAGAAACAATTCTTTATTCTCTTCTTTCAGTTAGAGACTCCAAATGTGAATATCCAGCTGCCTGTAATGCTTTAGAGACCCTGTTAATCCACCGAGACCTGCTGAGAACACCATTGTTTGACCAGATCATTGACATGCTGAGAGTGGAACAGGTAGGACAAGGCCATCACTTCCTGTCCTCACTCCCGAGATTTAGAAGCCTCTGGGATTAGACCGGGAGCAGCTGCCATTCCATTTAAGGCCATCTGAGAAGCAATGTTTTTGAGCATCTGCCACACACAAAGTTGTATGCTGAGTACACAGAATGAGTGAGACACGCCTGTACCTCTAGAGGCTGGAAGAAACCCATACACAAATAGTTTCATTCCAAAGTGGAGTATGGTCAGGGCTAAGAGGGTTCAAAGATAACGCTGATCACATGGCAGCCCACTGAATGGACTCTTTCCTGGCATAAAGTTTGTTTCTGAACACACATTCCTGTTTGGGTTTGACTTGGAAAGATTATGCAGAAATGTTTTCAAGCCAAAAATTTACATATATCCTCCCCTCCACAAAATGTCTTCAGTTACCAATATTAATGTGCTTATTAGTGCAGTGATTTTTAGGAGTGAGCAGTTTGTGTAATGTCTGCTCTTTTCTCACCGTATCATTAAGATGATAAACATCCAGTGGCAGTAAGTATTGAATATAAATGTATGTTCCATCTTAAAATCCTAATTGCAAAGAAATAGACACTCTCTAGGTAAAAATGAACGGTGTTAAATTTTCTGTCAGGACACATTTTAAGCTTTAATATCTGGTGTCATGGTGTCCTTTCAGAACTGTGTGAACTGGCACAGCAGTAGAGAGAGTGACTGCTGGCCTTGGTTGCTTTGACCCTGAACATGTGTCTCTTCCCTTCCATCCTTTTGCTGGAAAGGAAGGCTTCAGTCAGCTTACAGATGTGGCATGGGAACCTGCAAGGACAGTTTGGAAAATGAAAATGGACCCCACAAATTACAAGGGAGTTAGATCACTTGACCACTTAGGTTTGGGGCCTGACCTCACACTAGTGGCCTGTTTGAGCACTGGTGTGTGCCAGGCACCACACTGGACTGGACTGGACAAGAGGAAAGCTCTCTTGTATCCAGAAGTCAAACCTCCAGTTCTGATTCAGACAGACCCACAATGTCACCAGTCCTTCTCAGCATCGCCTGGACATTCCTTGGTCAGAATGAGCCTGGGTGTGCACTTCTCAAAGCACCTTGTAATGCAGGAAGTAAAGCAGAGGGCGCCTTGCACAGAGGTAGGGTTCTGGCCCATAGGGAACCTGGTTGGATCCCAGGCCTGGAGGATGTGGGGCCCCAGATGGGAAACCATGCAAGACCTTGGGAGCAGTAGGGACCAGACAAGTGGGGCGTGTTAGTCCTTGAGTCAGTGCTTGATCCTGAAGAACTGTGACTGCGTCCTCAGTGACCAGCCCTCAGGATCCTTAAATTCCTCTAGCCAGGAGCGGGATTTTAGTCGTGTGTTCATTTCAGTAAAATGCCAGCAGTCAAGGGCTTATAAGACTTCTTGCTTAAATCCCTGGTCCACTTTTACTGGGGGCCGTTGCTAGCAAGTGGCCATCAGCATTTTCCAAAGCAGAGCATTCTAGAGGATGGAGGCTGCCTCTAAAAGGAAGCAGGGGCTGTTTTGTTTTCTAGGCCCCAGGAGCCCCAGGCTTATCATCTCTAGACTCACCTTGCTGTTGAATCCAGAAGGAGGAGTATGCACTGCCTGTTTCTGCCGTGTTTAAGTCATTGCCCCCAACTTCCTCTGCCCCAGGTGAAGATTCATGCAGGCCCCAAGTTTGCCTCTTATCTGACCTTCAGCCCCTCTGAAGTGAAGTCCCTCCGAACTGAGTACGGGGACCTGGAGCTGTGCATTGAAGTGGTGGACAGTGTGCAGGATGCGATCGACCACATCCACAAGTATGGCAGCTCACACACGGATGTCATCGTTACCGAGAATGGTCAGTCTGCACAGGCAACAGCACGCAGGGTCTGCCTTTTCTGCCTTGACCTCCAAGCTGGCCCTGCTCCGCTCAGCCCCTCTTGGCCTGCAGGAAAACACAGTCTCAGTGGACTGCTGATAGTGCCCAGGGTTGGTGGCACTTGCCGGTTCACTTAGTGCTTGTATATCTGTTACCCCGTTGTATTGTCACAGTGGCCTTGGGAGGAAGCAGGGAAGAAGTGATTGACTCCACTTTAAACAGGGCTCACCATGTGTCAGAGTCATCACCATTTAATCCATGCAGCAGTCTTTCCAGATCGCTGGAATAAGCCCATTTTACAACTGAGGAAGGGCTTCTCAGGTGGCACTAGTGGTAAAGAACCTGCCTGCCTGGTGCAGGAGACGTAAGAGATGCAGGTTTGATCTCTGGGTCAGGTAAGATCCCCTGGAGGAAGGCATGGCAACCCACTCCAGTATTCTTGCCTGGAGAATCCCGTGGACAGAGGAGCCTAACGGGCTACAGTCCATGGGGTCGCAAAGAGTTGGACCTGACTGAAGTGACTTAGCACATGTGCACACAGGTGAGGAAACCAAGGCTCCAGAGGTTAGGCAGAGAACCAAGTAGCGTAGGGCAAAACCAACTCTGCATAGTCACTAGTTGCTTCCCCGTGTGATCACTGAAAGGCACGCCTGGGTGTCAGGCATGGGAGGCTGACCTATGGTCAAGGAGAAGCCACCAGTGAGAACAGCTAGTGCTTACCAAGTTCTTCCCGTCTGCTGGGTCTGGGACGAGTACTCCCCAGCTGTGAGTTCATTATATCCTCTCCACAAACTTGGAACTAGGTGATGGTGTCAGTCCTCACTGATCTCAGGCATAGGTTCAGAGACCTGCCCACAGTCACCCAGCTGGTGGGTGTGGAGTTGAGACTTAAGGATTTGGCTCAAAACCTAGAAACAGATAGTGTAGGTAGGCCATTGCCACACTGAGGGTACAGGGAGATCTGGACTCTAACCCAGTCTTTCCCATGTACCTACTGCTTCGGCAGCATGACTAATGAAGCAGGTTTGCTTTCTACTGTTATAGATATTCACAAGTCTATATGTTTAATATTCAGGGAAGTACCCCACGGGCCTGGGCCCTGACCCAGTCAGGCCCTGTTGAGTGGCTGGAAGCAGGGATATTTTTCCCAGGCCATCCTAACTCAATTTCTTTTCATTGTGCTGCAGAGAAGACAGCTGAGTTCTTTCTCCAGCACGTGGACAGTGCCTGTGTGTTCTGGAATGCCAGCACTCGCTTCTCTGATGGCTACCGCTTCGGACTGGGTAAGAAAGAGTCTGGTCGGAGAGAAAGCAGTCCCTTGTGGATCACTTTGTGGCCCGAGGAGCATCATGAGGGTGGAGGAGACACCTGGCATTTACAGTCACAAATGTGGTCAGGGTGATGGAGACAGACTGAGGGAAAGTGGATTTGTGAGAGAGAATGGGCACAGCTACCATGAACTGGTAGAAGTCCTGTGTTCTAGGCACTTCACAGGTTAAGAAGGTAGGTGCTTATATTTCCTTTTTCATAGATGAGGATTCTAGGATTCAAAGAAATGAAGTAACTTGCCCAAAGTCACGCAGCTGGTGTTCAGACCCAGACCTGCTTGAGTTCAGAGCCTGGCTCACTCCCTCCACGTTTGGCAGACCACAACATGTCTGCATGCATGGGTTGTGACAGGTGTGTGTCCAGGGCTCCATGAGGACACTGCCACTGCAGGCTCACTCCTTCAGAGACACATCCAGGTTGCCTCAGAGATAGGAATCCCCCCAAGGATAGGACAAAAGAAGGCATTACTATTACCTATGCTGGGCTGAAGTATCAGCATCAGAAATAAACATGTAAGCCCAGAGGTACAAGGTTGACTTCTTTTTTTTTTTTTCCCATTTATTTTTATTAGTTGGAGGCTAATTACTTTATAATATTGTAGTGGTTTTTGCCATACATTGACATGAATCAGCCACAGATTTACATGTGTTCCCCATCCTGATCCCCCCTCCCCAAGGTTGACTTCTAAAACAGACTTTGAAATACAAGGCTTTGGAAAGGCACCCTCCCCCTTTCCGTCATTACTAGTAAAATCTCCATCCCCCCAGTAGTATAAGGATGTTTCAGATAGTCTCTAATTTTCAGGGGTACCCTTATATAAAGCTCCAATAAGACATTTATGACATATCTGACAATTATTTCAGCTACTTAAAATATTTTAACTCCTCTGAATGTTTGAATAGAGAACTGCTTAGAGGAATAATTCTCACTGAATTATGAAACATTGTTAAAGGAAATTTTGCTTAGTTATTCTTAGTCATTGGGCTCTTTATTTTTAATTCCCATCTTCTTAAAGAAGAAATAACACACTTGTAAGGGCTGAGGTTCCCAGCATTCAAGTGAAGGTCCAAGATGGGGGAGGAGCAAAGACCACTGCCTTGTCTTCCCATCAGTCACTCAGAGCAAAAGCTCAGACTCTGTTTGAGTAAATTCCTGTGAAATGCGTGAATAATAGTGACAGATAATATTTACTGAGCATTTACTAGATTTCCAGCACCATGCATAAATATATCATATGCATTATCTCAGTTCTACATAATGGATTCTATTATTTTCCTGCTTTTCCAAAAGAAAAAACTGAAGCAAGAGATGATTAGGCAGTATGCCCAAAGTCATGTGGTCTCTATGCCGCTAAACCAGAGTTTGAAGCCAGTGGTCAGTCTCCTTGCCAACCACTGCCCCAGGCACCTCTTTGCTGCCTGCAGCACTGCTCCAGTGCTGTCCACTAGCTGGCTGCTTCTTATTGTTCAGGTTTCAGCCAAAGACAACTCTTCAGGGAGGCTCCCCCTGACCACCCTGTTCCAGGTGCTGCCACCCTGCCAGTCTCTATCCCAGCACCCTCCACTGCACCCCATCACCACATGCAATTATTTGCTGAGGTGTTCTCTGGCTGCCTTACCTACAAGAATACAAGCTCCATGAATTGCATCAATTATTCACATACTTTATCACCAAGGCCTAGCTCAGTGCCTGCTCAGTAAAGTTGGGATGAGCAGGGGAGCTCTGCAGAACATCACGCCAGACCCAGAAAAAGTCTTGATGCCCCATGTCTGAGGCTAGAGCAGGAGGGAGAGAAAGGAACAGTATCCTTTCATGCATTCAGTCACTGTCTTATGAGCACCTAGCAGCTGAGCATTCTGGGGAATATCTAGAGCATGTCCCTTACATGACATGTAAGTTTGAAGGATGCTTGGGGAGATAAAACCTCTGTACATTGTTGTACACCTCAAACACTGCCCAGATATTAGATAATGGTACGCAATACAGACACAAGACAGATGTCAGAGACAGCACTTGTAGAGTTGTCAGAATGCACTGCGAATAAAATATGAAAGAGACACCCATGTAGTCTGTTTCATTAGAAGAAGGGACCTGACCATGATTTACAGTGAGCAGAAAACATGTTTATGGGGAGAGTGGAAGTCAGGCCAGCCTAGGGAGGGTAGGTCAGGAGAGGAAAGGGAGAGGGTGCCAAGTGAGGAGAAGGAAGAGATGGCCTGGTGGGTAGACAGGAAGCAGAGGCTGGGCAAAGCTGCATCCTCAATCCCTCCTTTCCTGCAGGAGCTGAAGTGGGAATAAGTACATCTCGAATCCACGCCCGGGGGCCAGTGGGACTAGAAGGACTACTGACTACCAAGTGGCTGCTGCGAGGGCAGGACCACGTGGTCTCGGACTTCTCAGAGCACGGAAGTTTAAAGTACCTTCATGAGAACCTCCCTATTCCTCAGCGAAACACCAACTGAGCCCCTTCAGAGGAGAGCCGGGCGTGTCCAAGGGGTCTTCACAGTGAAGCTCATCTCAAGCATCTCGGGCTGAACCCCGTCTTGTCTCCCACCTCCTGGTAGGACCTGTCTGTTGGAAAGTGCACCTCCATGCTTCTGGGCTGTGTGGCAACATCAATCTGGGCTAAGGACTCGTGTTCCAGCGCCCGCCCCCCCTTCTCTTTTTTTCTTTTCTCTAAGTTAGAACATAATTGCTCTAGATAGGGATTTTGCATGATTGCTACAGAGAGGGACTTTGCTTCACATAGTGCAATTCCTTTTGATGATGAAAACAGAAAGGTGCGGTTTTCCCACATAAAAGGCAATGGAAAAATCACAGTCGATTTTTACCTTTTATCACCTCAATGAGGTCGAGTCTCCTTTGGCATTTGGTTGTTACAAGAGCCAGTCATACCTGACAAGTCTCTCCACATTTCATTTCTTTCACACTCTTGGTCTTCAGAAATGAGAGATTTAGAATTTGGAGAGGGGCAGTTCTTATTAGCATTCTCATCAGAAACAGTCACAGAGATGGACTGAATCATTTGCACTGGGCAGGTTGGCCTTCTGTATTTATCTGTGGAGTGAATATAAAAAGCTTTCTAGCTGCTTGGCAACCTCTCCGGATCCAGAGCTCAGCCCTACTTGTGACACGGCTGGAACCAAAGCTGTGGACGGGAGGTGCAAGTTTGAGAATGAAGTACCTACCGCCATTGTGCTTGAAATTTTTATATGAGTTATTTTGTCGTCCTTTCTCTCCAAAACAAAAAATTAGAGAATTATTTTAATACTTTGGATTCTTCCCCCCTTTTTGAGAAATAAAGTTCTTAAGAAAAGCCTGTGTGCACTATTCATGTTCTGTCACTCCTCGTCACCCTCTTGCTCTCCCCTCCCTTGTGCTCTCACACCCTGCTCTTACACAGTCTCTTCTCTGAACATTGATTGGCCTCAGCGGTGTCAGGTGTTGATGGGAGCAGCACAGGCAGATCCCCAGGGGGAGGGACTTAGTCAGAGAGGGGAGGAAATGAGAGATGAAGCCCCAGGAGCCTAGGGACTAAAAACATGGTGATGGTCTGAAGTTGAGCGTGCTGTCCTTATGCTGGGTCCACACAGCCTTAGGATCACCTGCTTCATTGACAGCTCTGAGCTCTCCCTCCTTCCATCCTGTTCTTAACACCACTGGTGCCTGATAGTCTGCAGTTGAAAGATTTCTTGTCTCATGGGGGCCCTCCCAAAGAAATAAGCACTCACTTACATGTTTCTTCTTATCCTCTGAGGATGTTTTATGAGCACAAGAATTATGGTGTCATGGGGAGCATGTTCCCAGGCTGGCTCCAGATGCTACCTCTCATCCCGACCCTTACATGGTCAGCCCATTACCCTGCCTGCCCTGCCCCTGAGTGGGGAGTTCTGGCATAGCTTGCCTGAAAAGGCAATAAACATAGCTGCCTGAAACTGTATGGCAAGTACCACAATCAGCTCCCAACCAGACAACAAATGCCCCTGGAATCAAAAATAGAAAGTGACCTAAGAAGGCCAAGCCCTGGGGGAAGACGCCACTGAAGAGGCAGGCCTGGAACTGGGCCCTGAGAAAGACAAGTTTTAGGGTAAGGAGAAGCCAGAGCATTCAGGCAGGGACTGGGGGAGCAAAAGCTGGAGGGGGATGAAATGCAAGTCAGGGAGCAATGAATATATAAATTTGGAGCTGACGTTCATGTGAGTAAATAAGATAGTACACCCCAGACAGCTGGGAGGTGTAAACTCACCCTTCTTAGGGCCTGGGACAGGGGTGAGTTTAGTGCAGGAAGTGCAGCTAAGGTTTAGTCATCCATAAGTCCATTCTCCCTGTGCAGCCACCTCAGTCCTTAGTCCATTTCTGCAGAGACTGTGGACAGTCAGAATTCTCCCCTCTTCCCTCAAAAGGAAAGTGATTCCCAAAAGACCAGGGAGCGGCCGTAGCCTCACCAGGACTCCCACCCAGACTGTCTTCCAGCACTTGGCTTGTCCTTGCTCTAGGAAGCCAGCTCTCTATTCCAAAATCCTTTCTGTGGTCCTACCCTCCTACTTCCCTTTCTTGGCCACCAACTCCTGGCAACACGAGCTGCTGAACAAACCAATCCTGAAGTTCCCACCTCCCCACCTAGGGGTGAAAAGCCCTCAACAAATTTTTTTTTTTCCAGTTGAGCTATTTTATTTTTTTTTCTTTTCTTTTTTTTTTCATTTATTTTTATTAGTTGGAGGCTAATTACTTTACAATATTGTAGTGGTTTTTGTCATACATTGACATGAATCAGCCATGGATTTACATGTATTCCCCATCCCTAAAGAAACAAAAGACCTATACATAGAAAACTATAAAACACTGATGAAAGAAATCAAAGAGGACACAAACAGATGGAGAAATATACCGTGTTCATGGATTGGAAGAATCAGTACTGTCAAAATGGCTATACTACCCAAAGCAATCTGTAGATTGAATGCAATCCCTATCACGCTACCAACGGTATTTTTCACAGAACTAGAACAAATAATTTCACAATTTGTATGGAAATACAAAAAACCTCGAATAGCCAAAGTAATCTTCAGAAAGAAGAATGGAACTGGAGGAATCAACCTGCCTGACTTCAGACTATACTACAAAGCCACAGTCAACAAATGTTTTTATTCATCAAACCAAGTTTACTTGGGTTTAGGTTTTCTATTACTTAGAAATAATGATAATAAAGGTAGTTATAATAGTAATAAAAATAATGTCTGACTATATTCATACATTATGGGGACATTTACAAAATTATTAATATTCATATGGAAAGAAAATTGGGCAGCCATATACTAGATTCTAATAGGTATAATTTGCTCTATATCCTTTATTTTATGAAACCACCTCTCCCCTATTTTGCAACAATCTTGCTGAGTTCCTGTGATTCAAGGGGCTTGGCAGGGGGTCTGGGGTGGTCACCTCCCCCTGATAAGCCACCTGGTGAGCCTATCTTTAGATTCCCTACTATCCATCGATGAACAGTGCACCCAGGAGCTCACTGACCACCGGGTGACATGGACTATCTAGGCAGAGTTATGGAGGTGGAGGGGGACTTCTCTGAGACCCATGGACCATTTGGGACATTGGCAGCCTAAACTGATTATATGTCGTTGCTGACTCCAACTCATCTCCTAAGCAGCATCTTCATTCTTGCCTAGCCATGGATGTAAACATGCCTTGGAGTCTACTGAAGTGGAAGGTGGGGTTAATGTTACAGTGTCTTTTCTGCTGGTGTTGCTGGCAAAAATCAATGAAGACCTTTGCAACTGCTCTTTTGGCAGCGCTTGCTCTTTAGTGAGAATGAGAGTTAAAACTTCAATATTCAGTGAGCACCAATTGTGTGTTGTGTGCTGAGTATAAGAGACATTCCCCATCCAGTGGTTCAACGCTTAACCTGAGCATTACTGCTCTACCCCCAATAGTTCTTAACTTCCAATCTCTACCACCTATCTTACCCCCATTCCTAGGAGAAACCCTTTAGCCAATAGGAAGACACCAGACTAGACAGATTTGCTGTAGGGGGATTGTAGGGGACTGTAGGGTAGGCGGGTTCCCACCACCTCAGAGAAAAGACACCTGGTTCTAGGTTCCAGCTGGTCCCAAGAATGCTCTGACACTAGAGGGCAATCAGGGTCCACAGACCTAAGGAGGTCTGTCCTCAAGTCTGGATGAGCTAGACTCCACCAGCATCCTCAGACTGTCCACCTGGAGATGAAGTGCTGGCACAGCCCAGTGACTTGCAGAAATCCGTCTACTTAGAAGGTTAGAACATGGGCTTCAGGTGATAAGAAGCAGAACAGAGTTTGGGCCTTGATTGCACCACCTGCTAGCTGTTTGAGCTGGGGAAAGTGTCTTTGAATTTTGATAACACTTATCTGTAAGTGGGCTTTGTGAAATTATATATAAAGCACTCAGTGCAATGGCCAGCCTATGGTAAACTGTCAATACTGTTAGCTGTATTATTCATTTGTTCTAGCTTTCACTTAGTTCTGAACATTTCTATTTTAAGTCCAAACATCTCTTCCTAGGAAATGAAGTGGGGGACACTCTTGGGAGATAATCTAGTACTTAACAGGAACTGTAGCAAGAGTCCTTACAGATGATGCCACAGCAATCTGAATGAATTATCTCTTATTTTCTAGGCTCAGAAACTGAGGCTCAGAGAAGTGAAAGTGGCTAGCCATATCCAACTCTGCGACCTGGTGGACTATACAGTCCATGGAATTCTCCAGGCCAGAATACTGGAGTGGGTAGCCTTTTCCTTCTCCAGGGGATGCTTCCAACCCAGGGATTGAACCCAGGTCCCCCACATTGCAGGCAGATTCTTTACCAGCTGAGCCACAAGGGAAACCCTTGAGAGTCTGAGTAAATTCCCAGGTCACACAGTTAGGAAGTGGCAGAACCTAGATTAGAACCAGATAAGTGGGCTTCAAAGCTCTTCACCACTACAGCAGGCTACAGTAGAAGTGTTTTCCTAGAAGTCCCTTACCTTAGCCCAAGGCAGGTTGTAAGGCAGAAGAAGGAGGTTGCCATAGCTACTAACTAGACCCCTTTTCAAGTAATCAGATCCTAGGTCTGCTCCAGTTTTGCAAGAGGAGATGCTTGTCTGGAAACTCTCCTCAACACCTGGCCCTTGAGGGAGCCGACTGCACCTGAATTATTTAGAGAGTCCCTAGACATTTGATATAACGAGCAGGTGTGGATGCTTCTGCAACTTTCCCCCAAACATGCCTTTACTGACCCTCTCCGCCTCCCCTAGTTGCCTATGAGGAAAAAAAGAAGCATCAGCCTTCCCACATTGTGTTTGTCTACCTCCTTCGTTCTCTATCCTGAAAATTTTCCATAAGAAGTGGGCTATTTTCCATGAAAATCTCAAAATACTGTTGGTTTGAATTGAAATTTATGTAAATAGAACCCTAACTGGTCAATGGATAATTGTCTT